TGGAAAGAACCCTCTGGCCGACTCGTACGTCTCGGTGCCCGGGGCCTCCGGGGTTGCTCGGTCGGTCGGGGTGTAGTCGATCCGGGAGGCCAGGCAGCGGCCCAGCAGCCAGCAGTTCGGCCGGGGTGCGGTCGTGGTGTGAGGCGTGGTGCACTGGCCGAAGAGGAAGGCTGCCAGTTTGTAGTCCCAATCGGGGGAGTCCAGGCGGCGGAGCGCGTCCTTCGTGGTGCGCACCATGCGCTCTGCCTGGCCGTTGGTAGCGGGATGAAACGGGCCGGACCAGACATGGCGGATTCCATAGTACTTCGTGACGGCCTGGAATTCGGCTGAGGTGAACGCGGTTCCATTGTCCGTGACCAGCGTGTCGGGGACCTCCACATGGCCCGGATAGAGGCCTGCGATGACATGGAGGGCACCGGGACCACTTCCAGCCATTTGCTGTAGGCGTCCACAAGGATGAAGAACAGCTGGCCCTGGAAGGGTCCCGCAAAGTCCAGATGTAGGCGGGACCAGGGGGAGGTTCCGGCCGCGAGGCTTGGCATGGCTGGCATCTCCGGACTACGTCTTCGATGTCCTTGTCCAGCCCCGGCCACCACACGTAGCTCCGGGCCAGTGCTTTCATGCGCACCACCCCGGGATGTGCCTCATGCAGGGCGGTGAGGACCCGTTCCCTTAAGGGCGAGGGGATGACCACCCGGCTTCCCCACAGCAAGCACCCTTTGTGGGTAGAGAGTTCGTGCTTCCTGCTGGTGAATGGCGCAATGTCCGGGTCCCCTTTGGCCTCGGGCCACCCCCTCACCACCCAGTCCAAGATTCTCCCCAGAGTCTTGTCCTTGGAGGTGCAGCGCGCCACCTCCGTAACATGGACCGGCTGGTCCGTGAGGGCTTCCAGGTGCGCGACGAGGAGCGCGGGGGCCGGGTCTGGGTCGCAGTTGGGGAGGGGCAGGCGGCTCAGCGCGTCAGCGTGGCCCATCGCCTTTCCGGGCCGATGGACGAGGTCATACGCGTACCCCGCCAGAAAAATCGACCAGCGGAGCACCCTGGGTGAGGTCATCTGCGGCGTTTGCCGGTCGGGTGTGAGGAGGCCCAGCAATGGCTTGTGGTCCGTCAAAATCGTGAACGGGTGGCCGTACACGTAGTGGTGGAATTTTTTTACTCCCGCC